TTAATTCAAGTCTTGCTTAATTTAGAAGCATGTTAACATTTTGTTTAGTTATTTTCCAGTCATGGTAGTCAGGTTCTTTTTCAAAAGACAGGAGAACAGTTTAGGAAACAACTAGAGAGCGCTTTATGTTATCATATGTCATATAACATTGGATAATAGTAATTTTCTCTGGTTTCTGTATGAAAGCAGCACGAAAAGGGGGAAACAGCAGAGATAGAGGATCAGACCGGAATGTGGAGATAAGGATGGAACAAGGAGCTGGTAAGAAGCGTGACTAAAAATACTGTTTGGTTGCTTGCAAAATGACTCAATAACTGCATTTTGACCTGTAACTGTGAATCTTTTAGGTGCAATTGTCTCATAAGGTGATAGAATGGTGACTTTTCTAGCATGTGCCTTCCTTTGGCTGATGATTGGTGGGATAGGCCCCAGCCCTCCCACAAGCTAAGAAAAGGATAGGAGTTCAGAAAACGAATAAATGAAGGAATGCCTCAAAGAGCAGTTTATTAATTTGTCTTAATTTTGGTAACATACATTTTTTCAATGAGTGGTAGTGTGATGCTCAAATATCTGAGTATTTAAATAGTGTTTGCAGTTTGATGCAGCAGGTTTGGTTCTCCAGCTAGCACCAACCTAGGATTAGTTAGTGTATCGGGTTTATCAATTGGCGGGACAGGGTTCAAATTGATTTCTCATAGGAGAACACACTTTCTGCAGTTTGTATTCTTTTTTTTAAGTTAGACTTATGAAAACTGAGGCAAATTAAATGGAAATACTAAAAATCTTTTACTGGTAGTAATTCCTGAAGAGCTTAGCAGGTGATATTGTGGTTCCAGCACTCCCTAACATGCTCCTTTACATGTTGCTCTAATTACCTATTAGGCTTAATTCTTACTTAAATCCTCTCAGACAAAAAGTTATTTTCCTAAAAAAAGTTGTTAATAATGACTAAATATGCAATGCTTGTTACTGTTGTCTTCTGCTTCATGTGGGACCGGGGTTGTGGGGCAGCAAACACAGCAGAGACTCCCAGTCCTCCCTCTCCTCAGACACCTCCTCCAGCTCCTGATGGAGATGCCTAAGGCGCTGCCAGGGCAGCAGAGACATATTCCCTCCAGCGTTTTCTTGGTCATTAAATATTTTGTGGGCTTCCATGTCACTACCTGATCTATACCGGGAGCAAGATCCGTACTATCAGCTCATTTGCGCACGCTCAACCAGATATACATCCCGGTTGCCCTTGATTTTAGAGATTGAAATAATTTTTTTCTCTCCCTAAAACTTGAAGGGGTACTAAACTAAAATGTGTAAAAGCTTTTCGTTTATTTTTTGAGAAAATAAATGTATTTTAATCCTGTTTTATCACTAGTCTGTGCCTGACCTTTGCAGGTAATTTCTACATTTAGCCTTTTGAGTTTTATTTTTGCCTCTCATTTTAACCTTCTTTTATATAATATGTAATCTAAAACATAATATTTTAAAATGCAGATAAACACAGTATAATCAAATTTTTGCCCGACTGCTCTGAGCATGTCAGATAATGATGTCAGACAAGCAGTTTAATGTAGGGAAATTAAAAAGCATCCAGTTATCTCAGAAAAGTCAATTTTTACCAGACATGTAATTTAGCATTCTGCAATTTAAG